TAGAGTCCCGTGCAAAATGTGAGGGTTTTGCCCTGTTGAAGCTCAAAACGCGTATGGTTCTTCAATAAAATCTTGTAGATTTTTCAGCGGTTTTTGAGCGCGCGCTCATCGTGGGCTCAATTCGAACGTTCAAAAGTAGGCAGCCACCTTAAAGAACTAGTAAATATGATCTATTTATTTATTTTTCTAAATTAGTCAAAACTCAATCTTTTTTTTGTTTTGTTTTGTTTTGTTTTGTTTAAGTTAGCTTTTAATTGTTTATATATATATTTTAATTTTTTAAATAAATTTTTTTTATGGGTTTATAATGAAGCAAGCGATTGTATGCATATGGTTATAGTAGATTTAAGGTAAAAAGAACGTTTAGGCACATATTTGTTAATCCCAGTATAGTTTATTTATCATTTTATAACATGTTTAAGATTATATTGAAACATTGCAAAAAGTTTTATATCCTTTAATCAAAATTTATTAAGATATATCCAGCAAGAGCATTAGAAAGAAAATGAAAACAAAGAGAAAAATAATAAATAATAAAGGAAGAAAAAATAAAAGTAGACCATATTCTTCGTTTGCACGTTAYGTCATCGCGGCCATGTTGGTACCATTTAACAAAAGATTTCTCATTAGYATCCATTGTTAACGGCACCACAATGACCGCCATGTTTTTTTTCTTTTAACTCTCTTGGGAATGCTTGCAACCCATCAATAGAGTGGTTTCATAAACCCATGAAATGCAATTTACCATATTTAGTACTATTACACTCTAATTCTTTTGTTTTTTTATTGTGTTTATCCGACAACTACACTGTAATTAGTACCTTTAGTTTCATGGGTTTATGAAAACTACTTTGTCCGTGAAATAGAACTAACTAATTAATATAAAATAGCACTAATGAAACAATTGAAAACAAAATATATAGATGTGTTTAGTGCTATTTAGTTTGTGTGCTATTTCACGGATATGGTTTGCAATGTAAGGCCAAGGTCAAACGTCGAACTTCACATGAGCCGAACCTAATTCCATAAATAAAGACCGCCTTGTTATCCATTGTTTCAATTAGGTTCGGCTCATGTTAATTTGGACGTTTGACCTGAGCCTAAGCAGTGGCGTAGCGGGAGTACCAGAATACCAGAGCTGGATGGGCGAGGCTGACCACACGCGTTTTGGCGCAAAATTTTTTGCCAAATCCACAGGTAGCTCAACAAAATGTGAAAAAAGGAAAACTACATCTCGGTAACTAACAAGAAAGAATATACGTTTAGACGTATATTTGTTTACGCACCAAACACGTTTCTTTCTGTTTACCCTCCTAGTACATTTGATCTTATATTACTTTTTACTTTTGCCTTAATAACCTTAAAGGTAATGCGCTATTCATTATACAATATGAGGTATTAAATATTTTTTATTTAGGTCTAGTGATAAAAATTCTTAATTTTCAGATCCGAAGATTGTCGAACCCCCACCACACACACACACACACGCACAAACAACAACAAGAACAAGAACAAGAAGAAGAACAACACAACAACAACAGCAAACTTCAACGTCGACGATGACGAATATCCGGGAGATTGACATTGAGACTCCCGGATAACCCGGGAGACAATTAGCTACCTTGATAATTCAATAATATTAATAATAAAGATCACAGCCAAGTATCCATTACTTTCTTTCTATCAGCATCGTGTGATGGCATCTCTACTGTATCACAAAACTCATCGTTCTCACTTAGAACGCTCCCATTTTCTTCACATGTGTTATAGGAATCTGCATCGGATATCCCCGGTAAGCCGAGTGTTTTATTACCTGGTGAGGCTGGGACAGCGTGTGAATCTGACACTTTCACTTGTAAACCAAGGGGTCCATTGTGAGGAAGACCACCAGTAGTAGTCAAAGAATGGTGGACTGCATTAGTTAACTGGTAAGGAAGCAGATAAGGTTAATAGGATTTGGACCCATGACCTCTTCAGGGGGGTAACCAAGGGTGGTGCATTGGGTGCACGTGCATCCCCCCCCCCCCCTTTTTGCATCCGCAAATCTTTGGAATTTTATGACAATTCTTAAGGATGTTAGTTCACTACATGAAATTCCATTTTAATTTCATCTGCACCCACCCGGCAAAACCTCTGGTTACGGCCTTGCTATTGCAGAAGCCTAACTAGCGAACTAACAGAATTAACCGGGTCGGGATCAAACGGTATGGTTTATTAAGCAACCAACAAATATATCCACTGAATGTCCATTTGATTTCCGTCAACCTTTTTACATATTTTTGTACAAAAAAATTAAAAACGGACTTACAACGTGAGCTTGAGCCAGCAGACTATGAGCTGCTCTGTAGTGTAGCTTCTCCACAGCTGCTGTAGCTTCGACACCATATCCATTATACCTAGAATTGAAAAAGCCGGAAGAATCATTAATCACATATATGTATTCCAAGACACAAACGGAAAAGTATAATGTGCGAGTAGGCGGAGATTTTACTGCTGATTTTCTTGGATGTTCAAGGGATTTTCTCTCATTTTGTCTTACATCCGTCTGGTGTTCCTCCCTCCACATAATTACTCAAAATTTTCGTTACAACTGCTGTAAATATATGACGAAACAAATAGATTAAATCTCTATTTATAACGTCTCTGAATGAGACGGGAATGCCATTTTACGTGGTCATCCAAACCACGGAGAATGTCTAACCATTTGCAGAGATTTTTAGAGTAAAGGCGGCACCTTAATTCTACTCAGACATTGAAACTTAATTAAAATAATCTTTATAGTTCTAATAATGACTGGTTTAAGTTTTTCTTGATATTCCAATGGGAAATATTTATATTTTTTTGCGAATCTTTAAAAGAGTCAGTGACGTCATCTACTCAACAATAGACATCGTCTTATACTTTCTCTGAATTTTGTGATCAAAATATCCGCCAGTTTAATACTCAGGATTGAAAAAAAAAAAAAGGAAAAAATCAATGCTGATTCCAAGCACGTTAACTCCCTCAATCGACCTTTTGACTTCATACAAATAAAACTAAAAATCAAGAAGTTATTTGCAAAAAAATGTATGGAGCGATGTTTAGTCACAGACTCCTATAACAGATAACGGTTGCACATGAGAAGACACACAAATATGGATATGATATATGACTCAAACAAAGAATCTTATTCTCAAGAGAATGGCACGTGGTCTGGATTGGACAAAACATTACGAAAAAGGAAAAGAGGTCTTTAAGCCCCATTTACACTAGCGAAATTTGCTGCCATTTTTTTTTTTTTTGCGATTTTGTCCATAATAAATAATGGTAAAGAATTTACTTGTAAAGTTTTTTTCAGGATACAAAGATTTTCCTAGACGAATGTCTCTTTTGAAGGATGAGACAAAAGATTTGATATTTCCGAAAATTACCACAAAAATCGCAGCAAAAATCGCAGCAAAAATCGCAGCAAAAATCGCAGCAAAAATCGCAGCAAAAATCGCAGCAAAAATCGCAGCAAAAATCGCCGCAAAAATCGCCAGTGTAAACGGGGCTTTACGAGGCAGGGCATACCATACATCTTTAGTGCTTTGAAAGCATCATACATACTTACATCAGGTAATACAAGCCATGAATCAGCTCCTGGATTAAGTCAGCACTGAGAGGGATCCTTGGATGATTTGTTAGTTTAGCTTGTTCTTCGTTACTAATAAATTCTGCAGACACATTCATCATACCCGGTTCTGGAGAACACTGATTTGGAAATCCGGATATCGCAATTCTAGGAGAAAAAAGTCGAATCGAACAAAGTGAAATATCAGGTTACGACTTTTAAACTAGAATGATGAATGCATTGACAGGCAAATCAGAATGCAGAATTTACAGAAAATGTCTTCCAATTTGAATGTGGGTTGCAGTGAAAAGTTGCAACGAGAAATTATGGGCAAAATCCACTTGGACATAATGTTTTGACCATTTCAGAACACGCGTCACTCTCTTGAGAATAAGATTCTTTGTTTGAGTTGAATGCATAATCATGTATTTTGAAACGCGCAATCGTCAAGCAAAGAAATAATACTCTAGGGAATGACA